CGCCGCCGGTCGGCTGACGCGGCTTGTGGCTTTCGGCTCGTCGAGCTTGCCTCACTCGCTCAGTCGCACTCGAACCGCGCATCGGTGAGGGTGCTGTGTCGCCCTCTGTCGGTAGTTTCTCTTTTCGATGTATGCGTGTGTGCGTACTTACGGGAACAGTTGCCACGCGAGTCGTACCACGTTGTCCTTTTTTATATTTTTCTTTCGTTCCAATTTACGCTCGACTGGGAGCGTATTTAATCGCGAAGAATTCCGAATAACTGAACTTTAACGAAATAATACGGAATTATTCGAGTCGTACCTTACATCTTTACGTTTTTTGTGCTTCTTGTTTATCTACTTATAACGGTCGGTAAAGGAGTAAAGTAAATGCGCGACAAAAGATCATTCGAATTTCGTATATTGGTATCCCTGTTTTACGTCATTAGTGTCAGTTTGAAATTTTCACGTGAATATTCGCGAATTTTGATAATGTTATATTGATATTATATTCTCTGGTTTTACGCGTAATAAGGTTTTAAATGGTAATTCGACGTGTGAAATTCGGTGAAAATAGATCGTGTGTGATTACGTATCGAGGTATCAACAACGTTAAAGGTAAAAAACTGTCAACACTCACCGTACGTTCCATTTTGAAAGCGAGACAGGTTCGACCAGGCTATTATTCCAACTCGTAATTGCGTGATACGTAGTAGTTCAGTTTTCTTCATCCTTTCAAGTTTAACGGTCACTTAAAAGAATATTGGACGCCATTGAACATTCCGTTTTGTTCCCAGTCGATGCGAGGACACAGTGAATAGTCGGTGCGCGCGTGTTTGTCGTCGACGTGCAGTTCGAAATCACGAGAATATGGGGAGTGTGGGAGATAGATCGTCTTCGGCGTAATCTGGCGTTGACGTGACCTAGCCTAACGTAACTTTTGTTTGGGACATCGGTCGCCTGCGCCTCCATTCTATCACCCATCCCACGGTTCCATTCGTTCGGTGCTCTCGTGTGTGTGCTCACTTTTCTGGAGTGTGTGCGACTGCCTCGAACAGCAACGAACGACTTCGCCCGGTAAGTGATTCACCATATTTATATAACGGTGTCGCGCATATTTATGAATAGGTGTCGTGCTTGCCCAAGGTGAGCTTCGAACGATCGTAATATTTATAATATCGAACGTCTTTCTCTCTCGTATTTACGTTTATACGAATCGCTGTTTTGTTTTAATTGGAATTTCACAACGGACGATTTACGTTTTTCTTACGTTTCCTTTTTATTATTTGTTTGTAAAACGTGATATAGAAGATACGTATTTCGTGAAATGAGACGCCATTTTGATAAGCTTGCATTACTTCGATATTTTGCGATATATCGTTCAAATTAATGGATGCGTTTCAAAGTAAAATTAAAACGGAGAGTATTAACATATTCAAGTTTTTTTTCATAAATTCCTAACGTCTTTTTTATCTGTTTAAAGTAATATCTAATCGAAATACAGAATAATAGTCGGATTTATATCTCAGTATTTCAAAGGGGACACGAAATTGAATTTCAATTTCACTCGTAATATCTTTCCGTCCAAAAATTGTTGATTCGAATTGAATATAAAAGAGACGTTCATTCTCATCGTGATATTTTGCGGGTTTTTAATATCTATGTGGACATTGCGCGCATAAATAATTTTTATCATTACCAATATTGGAAAACGTTCGATATCGTAAAATACGTACGAAGATTATAATTCATTCCCGCCAATATTCAAATTTTTCTTATACCGATATCTTTTTATTTTTTACCCACTTGTTACTTTTACATATATTTTATAAGATATATGTAAAAATTATTTTAATCTTTATTTCGTCACAGTTTCATAAATATACGGATAAAAATAGCAATAAACACGTATGCTTATGAAATATCAGATCGGGAAAAATTATTTAAATCATCAAAAATTAATAAGTAACATAAAGAAATTATATTAAATAATACTTAAATGATACATTCAACCTTGTTAAAATTCAAGACCAATGTTATCTCATAGAAATCGAATAAAGCATCAACCATCCATTTGCCAACAGATTCATTAATGTTACTATTCTCAATTTCAAAGTGTTTCAAACGGAATTGTAAATACTCTTAGCATAAGAGGATCGTGCGATTCGCGTTCACGAATTTTTCATTTCACCTGAAAATTCATAACACGAGTCGCGTTTCGTTAAGCATGTCGTACCCTCTCCCGACCGTGTCCTGTTCCAAAGAGTCGCCTCGCCGCAGAAATAATATTCGCTTTGGTGAGTTCAAAGCTTTGCCAAACCGCGGGTTAGTTGCGGAGGCTGGTGGCACATGGTGCTGAAAATAGGCGGACACCAGAGGCGGCGTTGCATCTTTCCACGAGCCCGTTTGGAACGACTGTTCCAGTATCTGGAATCGCAGTTAGAGAAAAAAGAGAAAACATCGAGGAAAGAGTGGGTGGGCGCTAATTGGTTAATGACCGTCATTACGGGTATAGAGGAGTGAAACGGAATTAAAAATACCGAGCTTCCGTACAACGAAAGAGAACCATTTTTCATTCTTTTATTAGACTTTAGTGGAAAAGGAATATGACACACAACGTTTTGATCTATACGTTAAGTTGTCTTGAATATTCTTTCTGTTTTTTGCAATATATTTTAATGACAATGATCTCAAAAATAGTTTTTCCATGTTCTTAGAAATTCTGATTTATTTTTAATATTAAAATCTTCAATTTTCTTCTAACTTTTCAATAGAATACATTTATTATTTAATATCTAATGAGTTTAGAATTAAAATTGATAGAATTATATTGTTAGAAGAAAATATAGGAATATTTTGATATGTACATATATCTTTAAAAATGATCAAAACTTAAATAAAGTATAGATTACTATTTTAACTCAAAAACCCAAAAGAAAAAAAAGATATTCCTTTTCATATTCCTATCCTTTCCTCTATTCTTTCTCCCTCGTACTTGCGTTAATTAAGAACATGCAAAATATTCCGACTAAAAGATCGTTCCATGGAACCGAATTTCACTTCGTCGCATAATTTTCATGTAAACTCACTTCACTCCGATAAAGTTTGAATTCCGCCAATCTCGTTTTGCCTCCCTTCATTTAGATTCCGCGTCGTTGTGCGACTACCTTCTGCTTGTTTGTCGAATTCCTTCTGCACCCTAATGCTCTCGTATATGGAAATCAATGGAATTTCTCCACTTTTTCTCTCCCTGTTTTTCCATTTGCTCCTCCAGCCGATCTCGTTCGATTTCTCGCTTTGTTACGCGGTCGTATTCTCGGTATTCATTTCCACGCGTGCACGCAGAATCGTCAGCCACTCGTCGACTGGACGATCACGTTAAGGTCGCGAAAATACTTTCCAACAACGTATCTTATCGCGTTTCACGACCTCGTCGCACGTGATCCGGTAATTAGAGCTAGGGTCTAACTGTTTCTCTTTCCATTCGAACGAGATCCTCTCTCTTTTCTTTTAAAATGAATAAGAACAAGGGTGCGAGTTCCCCTTTGCCGATTTCTTTCACGCGAAATTTCAAAGTGGCTTTTATTAAAATAGATTTCATCTAGAGTAACGACGTTACGATTTGAAGTCATTCCAGTTAGATTTCACGTATCGTTTAATTTCTACGCGATTTAATTCGCGTCACGGTGTATCGATTGAATTATTGCGAATCTGTGCGAGTTTAATTGCTGAATACTGAACGTTGACAGCGTTTAACGAATTTTCGACGAATGAAATCTTTTATAGAGTAGGATGTACTGTACTTTTTTTTTCAAATGTCTCTGGTATGCGATCAAAATTTTTATCGATAGAAAATATCGTTATAGTTTGAAAATTATATCGAAAAAGTAAAAAGTACGAGGTTGATATTTCAATGAAAATTCTGATGGTGAAGAACATAGTATCCTGATAAACGATTGTTTTCTCGTTCAAGAGTAATCGTATTATAAAGAGTTGCTTCCCATTTAATGCATTTCGTGAATACCAATGGATTATAGACGAACGGAGGAATCGAGGAAATTCATATAGGGACGAATTTTTCTAAGAAAGAAATATAGAGGACGAGCCATTTTGTCCCTGGTCCTTTTATCGAGTGATCTGCGTATACGTACAGCCCCCTGGCATTCGTAATAGCGAAAGTATGAGAAATTGAAAGATTCCAGATAGCGAGGGCCAGAGTTCTCCAGTGACGTGCGAGTTCTGAGAGTCACGTGAGGTCGAGTGAGTTACACCGTCGCCCTCGCTACACAAGAATACACTTACGCGGTGCGACATTCATTTTCTGCTATCGTGAGTTGTACCTAGACGGTGGGCGAGTCGCAAGATTGAAAAATTCCAGATAAAAATGTTACATTGCGTTTTCCACACTCGCCGAACGCTCTCGAGCGTATTACTTCACGTTTTTCTGCAGTTTTGCAGTCGAAGCGACTCGGTGTATTATAGTACAGGATCATTTACTTTCTAATAATCGAAGAATCAATTATTTTTTTTTTTAAATTAGAAATTAAAAATATAGATCATTTTAATATCATTTTAGTATGATAGATTGAAACATATCTGTAATATATTTTTTGTTATTATCTTTGATACAAATTTATTATAAGATTTCTTAAATAAATCATAAAGAGATATAATTTCGTTAGTTTTTGCTATTATTTCTATCCCAGCGATAAAGAAGAAAGAGAATGAAAGATACATTTTAACTCTACGATCGATGTAAAAGATTTTTGCGGCGTTAAGTTCATTACACGCGATCCTTTCGCAAAAGATAGCGTCCTTGTTAATCGGCGTTAATTATCCAGAAAAGAGCAAACTTGAAGCGCTTCTTATTCGCTTATGATCGTGGAATCAAACTATTCGTTTTAATTATTATTATATTACTTTCTTTTCGCGTACATCAAATTAAAACAACGAAGCGTTCTTCCCGGGAATTTAACATAGCATTATTCGAGCAATCTTTTCACGCGGGGAAACTTTGATATTTCCTTTACGAGATTATCTCTTCCCCCTCCCCTCCCCTCCCCCAGGATTCGGTTATACCGAACAATTTAAAAGTTGTGCTTTGAAGATTCGCAACTTTGATATCGCTCAAAGATAATTGGATCCACGGTTATTGCGTGAAACGCAGAGATTCCCAAAACAAACGAATTTCCAACGTGCTTCCATCTCGTCGAAATCTTTTTATTCCGAATCGAAGTTCGCCGCGCCTAATCTAATTTTTTCGATAATAATTTTCGCTCGCCAAATATTTGATCAGGATTGCGATTCCCTCCTCGAAAAGATATCGATCGATAGCGAAGCTTGAATTCATCCCCCCGTTAAATTTTACCCACCTTTAATTCCCTTCTTTACGCCTTCTTTACAATTTCCCTAAAAAAAAAAATAACTATCATCCGCGAGAACGATATCGCGTTGATCGCGCATTTAAGGGTTCATAAAGATACCTATGTCGCGTGAAAATTTGTCCAGACGCGCGGTTTGAGGGGCGTCAGATGGTTGGCAGTTGAAATTTGCATAAAGGGATTGCGAGAGGGTGGTTGGGGGGAGGGAGACTCGTTCTCGTTTTTCGTCGGTGGCGGGTTATCCATGCTCGTTTCGTTCGTGCGCCGCGAAAATGCAAACGAATACAGGGGACGTGCCATTCTCTCGCGTAATTGGTTTCACGCGGAACGAGACGATTTTCATTGCATCGTACGTTCCATCCCCTTGTATCTTGATCGTATCGCGGAAATGGCGCTCGTTTCGCATCCCTCCCCTTCTCTACAAATTTCACACGCGCATATTATGGAACGCGATCGCGTTAAAATCGCGCAAATCGTCGATTGAACCGCACCATCGTTCACTTCGAGAACGATATAGCATGATATTTAGCCACTTTGTCGTTCCTTGCACACCGCCTAGACGGTGGATTCGACGATGGCGTTTAGTTCGACCTGGCGGAAAGATTGCTCGCGGTTGCCTCCATTAACTCACGCACGCCTAGGTGGAGGAAGACGGCGGTGCATTTGCGCGGTCGGTCGAGCAGGATTCAGTGACAA